ATGGGGAGTTTTTAAGAATTATTTTTCAAGTATCAAATGAAAAACTATGGAGAATTTATTAGCTGTTTGGATATTGAATTTCTCTTAACAACTTGAGATGGCAAGGTCTCTTCACGTTTAAAATACTAGATGATACCCCGCGCGTTGCTGCGGGGATTTTACAGAAGGATCTGTGGATAGTTCTTCTGCACTCGAATTGAAGTGTTAGGACTTAGTGTAACAAATTTCAAAGTTGCTATAGAAATAAAAATATAATAATTATTTGTACGGTATATAACTAAATAGAATCCATTCAAAAGGAGAGAAGTTATATTCACGAATATATATCACTGGATCGTGAAAGAAGTACTGATGAGGCATCTTATCGTAATAACAACATTGCTAATTTTATGCAGTAAGAAGGCTGCATGCATTGTAGACGATGTCCTGCATGTGGTGACCGAAAAAATAATATTATTTGAATGGTTAAATCTGCGTACTCAAGCCAGCTATGTCTATTTAATTTTATGTTCAGCTCAGTTGCATACAAATAATCAGATGGGATATGATGTTGTATCTTCATTCATGAATCATGATACATGGGCCTTGTGGAAATACTGTCCTTGTATGTGTGATGTGACGTACACTAATTGAATTAGAATAGGTGCTTACGGTTATGCATAACGTAAAATGAGATGACAGTTCGTGTACCTAGAGACCAACGAATCACCAACTCTGCAGAAATGCCCTTGCTTGCAAATCGTCGAGCACAACAGCGCAATCGCCAAATCATGATCTGACAAATTGCAGACATTAACCATAGGGACAGGAGAAATATAGGAGGCGCTTAAATTTAGAAACGGCGTGAGCAGAGGGCAATGGCAGAGATGACTGATGACCGATGAGTACGCCGCAGCCCGCAGCAACCGTTGCGGCCGGAGGAACCAAGTCCGTCGCAGCCATCGTTGCCTGCCTGGCTGCCTCGGGTACGCGCCAGCCATCATGGGAATTGGGATACGGCTTCCTGGCTGCGGTGGTGCAGGTCGAGGCTGCCATGTGATATGGCTTCCTAGCTGTGGTGCCGCCGGCAAAGACTGCCGACAGTGTTATCTCCGTCGCCCACAGCCGTCGCGGTAGCTGTAGAACTCCAACTCCAAGACCGACGCCATCTTCTCCGCCATGAATGGGGTTCCGCGACGCCGTGGACCGGTACCTCCGCCGTGCTGCACAAGAGCTCCTTCCCCTTGCGGTACTACCAGGTGCTGTTGACGGCTGGCAGCTCTCAGCCCCAATCCGAGTGGATGCAGCACGTGGACCGCTCTGGCTGGCCGGCGTCCTGCCGCTCGACCTCTTCGGCAAGGCGCGCACAGCATGGAAGGTGGGTGTCTTCGCATCTCTCCCACCCTGACCAGGAAGACAGATTGCTTAATTGGATTTATAGATGGATTTTTCGATGTTCAATGAGTCTACGTGAAGGCAGTGGCGGCTACTGAAGCAGTTTCTTGCGCACAATCCGATTGGATTGAATGAAGAGAGAATTATCTATTCGGCACTCAAACAAATCAGTCTTTTTTATTTAGCATTAAAATTTTTGAACTTTTTTATCTGGCATCAAGTTGAAATTTCGTTTCTTAGATGGCACTACCGTCCATTTAGGCTAGTAATGGTGTCAAGTGGCTGACAAAATAACATAAATGCCCTTGTTTCAGTAGAAGCATGTGGTGCAAAATAGGAAAAAAAAAAAATAAATGGGACGCAATGTCAAATAAGAAAATCATAAATATCACAAGAACAAAAATGGATTTTGATAATCTAAGACTGCAAATAAATAATGCACACACTGATACAACTGACATTGACACTAAAATTTCTTATGTAAATTAAAGAGGTTAGCAATGACAGTTTACTAACTTACATAAAATAAAGAGTTTAATTAGAGTAGCACATCTCCGGATACTGTACCATCTAACCATATACAGTATCTTGGTGGATTGAATAGATAGTTATGAAAAATATTGTTCGGGCACTCGACACTCCCCTGCCAAGAAAATATAGGGCAGTTACACCAACATCTATCTAAAAAAACGAAAATGCTAATATTGACTGCACAAAAGACGAGCAGGACGCTAAAATCATAGGGAGCGGAGGGATGCCTGCGGACGGAAGGGGCAACCCGTGATTAGTGCCTGCGCGGGGTGTGGCAAAGGTCGAGCTAGCACGCACGCAGCCGGTCAAAGCGAGGCGTGCTGGCCGGAGGGGCCGCGCGCCCTCACCGCCTCCGCCACGCCGCGGGCTGCCAGAGCGCCGGCCCACGAGCCCGCCCTGCCGCCGCAACCCCGCCGCGGCCAGGCTCTGCCGGGTGAGGCCGCCTCGCTGAGGGCGCGCGTAGTTGGTGCTGGGCGCCGGCGCCGGCGAGCTCCATCATCCTCTCCTCCCCTTCTATTGATCTAGGATTTGTTTTTTTTTTTTTTTTTACGGAGAAAAGTCGCGGGATACAGCCGCTCGGCGAGTCGAGAGAGAAAATTGTGTGTGCGAGTAGAGGGGTATTTTGGTCCTACTGAGAAAAAAATGACATGGTCAAAACAGTCAACTAATGGATAAATGGTTAAAATAGACGGTAGTGTCATTTATGAAAGGAAATTTCAACTTGACGTCAGATACGAAAGTTCGAATTTTTTTAGTGCCAAATAAGAAAGACTGATTTGTTTCAGTGTCAAATAGATAACTCTCCCTTGAATGAATGCTGTAGCGGAGGGATTGTGGGTTAGGAAAGTGGAGGGATGATGGGGAGGAGAGAAGACGCAGAGGGAAGGAGAAGAGGCAGAGACACGGCAGCACGGGAATTGCTGCGGGGAAGGAGAACAGGGCGGTGGGAGGTGGTCTTCCGTTCTCAAATAAAGGATGGTGTGGGCCTACTTAGGTGACGTGGCTTCCTAAGATAGAAAATATGCGAGTGGGGATCTCCTATTTAGGTATATAGGAGATAACAATTTTCAACAAACTACACTACAAGGATTGATTTAATTGTGCTTGTTATTTCCTCCACTCCTAAATAACTTAATTTATACTTAAGCCAGCTTGACCGAATTTAGTGGACAGAGCACAAAAAATTATGACATCAAACTATTGTTTTTAGATACACTTTGAAATATATTTCCATAATATGTTTATTTGGTGTCACAAATATTGTTGATGTTTTTTTGAAACAATATGGCGGACTTTATTCATTCAGGATAGTTACATCATTTGCCAGGAAATCAAGAATGAAGCTAGGGGGCTCATCGTCCCAAGTACAACTTTGCTTTGATTGCATCGCTCTTTTTGATGTTTTCTATAAATTTGGTTATGCTCCTGGCACATTCAAAATAAAAATAAAAGACTACACCTCTCTATTATGTCCCATCTGACGTGGCATATCTGATATCTCGGCATTTTGTAAGGCCTAGCTAAAACATGATGGTCTAACGTCCGTGGGCCTCTTTCTCGCCCCAGCCCAGTAACGTTTTAGATTCTCCAATTTATCTTCCAAACCAAAATCCCTCTTTTAGCCGTGGCCATTTTTTTATTAGAAAAGATAATGTGTCGTACCATGATACGTGATATTGATATACGTACTTTTGTTAACAAACATGCCTCTATGAGTTGGATCATGGCCCTACTATATAAACAAGGCACTAGTTATTGCTTGCTTTTTTTAGAAAAAAGGAAATATTTCATTAGCTAATGAAAAGGGTCCTAACCTCTACCATACAATTGTTTGCTAATAATTCATATTATCTTTTTCATATGCATTCAAATATAAAACCATATGCAAACATACAGTTCAATTGCCACGACAAGTCAAATAGCTAGGGGTATCTTAGACATTTGTTCTCTCTTAGCCATTCATGACAAAACATGAGAATTATTCAAGAGACATTTTTTTTTTCAAAATAGCTTCAACTCTACCATACATTTTTGTTATACTTTTACAATTAGGACGCGGTATTTTGGTTATAGCTAGAGCTCTACTAAACGCGTCCTAATTGTATTGTACAATATTGCATCTCTACTATAAAGAACTAATCTAAACAATTTTAGGTACACCAAACAATACGTCCCCCATTGAAGGAACTGCATCAATAAAATTGCACCCAAGATTTTAACATCATTAAAATCTATGGCTCTTAATCCCCTCATGATTCAACTCAATTCGTTGACAAACGTTATTTGATCTCCCCACCCTCTAGGCTTCAACGCGCAATCACATGGAAACAAAATCGCCGTCGCACGCGTCTCCGCTCCCCTCCCCCGCGAGCCTGCAACCCCTCCCCGAAATCACGCACGAGCGGGCAAACAAATTCCCGTCAATCACGATCACGCCATCGCCGACGCCGCCCTGCGCCCGTCCAGGGTAGCAGCGGCGGTGCCCACACCGGGGTCCCTCGCGCACTCACCCGTCGGCCCAAGGCCGGCCGGGGCGGCGGCGGCGGCCAGCCGTCCAGTTGGGTTACCCAGCTCCTCCTCTCCCTCGAAGCGCGCCTCCTCCTCTCCCCCACGCGCCGCCTCCTCCTCTCCCCCTCCTCTTCCCCACGCGCCGGGGCGGCGGCCAGCCATGGCGGCGATCGGGGGGCCGACGCCCTCCTCTCTCTGCATTGGGGCCATCGCTGTGCGGCGTCATCAAAGCGAGAACGGGTCGAGGCAGCGCTAGATTGGGCCGGGGGTAGGCAGCCAGTCCTCCTCTGCTCTCCACTGATCTCGATCCGCATCCACCTCCCCTAGGTTCGTGCCTCCATTCCCCGATTCCTCTTCCACGCCGCCTGCTTGCCCAGATCCCATCCAATGCAGTGTAGCCCGTGCGTACGCTTCAGTTAAGGACACAGAGGTCGAAGAGCACGAGGTGAGCGGCGCGGCGGACTTCGCGCCGGTGCTCATCGCCGCCCACGGCCCACCCACACGGCAACTCCGTTGCCGTCGCCAATGGGCCCGAGCTCCGCGTGTTCAATCTCGGCATCGTCGCCCTCCACCTGGGACTGGACCCGATGGAGCCGCAGCCGCCACTTCGACGAGGTCAACCAGGCCGAGAGTACGCATCGACGAGGTCAACCAGGCTGAGAGTACGCATCCCTCCTACAGGTAATCACCATTCCATCATCTTATAACTTCTAATCGAACCAATCTGATGAATCGATCCATCTTCTCCGACCGCGCAGTTCCAGGCTTCCAGCTGGAGGAGCTGGTCGAGAACGAGGATTTCGCGGAGGCCGCCAAACTCAAGAGGGACATCATAGAGGCCACCGGAAACGACACCGTAGCCCACGTCATGGCCGAACTCAAGGTCCGGAACTGCTTTGTGCTGCCTGACATTCTGTTCCATTACCGATTTTTAAATGAGATGTTTATCTTTCCCCACCTATTTTGGATTACGATCTTCTGACTGCGGCATTTGTCCCGTTTGGTTGCTATTGTCCTTCTAAATTCTGGCAGAGTGCTATAGAGGAGCAGCGGTACCAGGACGGAACCCTCAACTAAACCATGTCTACTACAACAACCAGCCAACCAGGAGTGCGTCCTGGTTCTGTTTGGTTGCTCTTGTCCTGGTGCAGCGGAAAGATGAACATCTCAAGGACAAGAGCAACCATGGCAGTCTAATCGGGGAAAAAAAAGCAACCATGGCAGTCAGGGAGCAGAGGGAGATACCTGTTCAGAAGTGATTACAAGATTGCGTTGGCATGGGTGCTATTCATGCATCAAACGGATACAGTTTGGTACTTGGTATCTTTTAGAGCTCCGATCCACCAAGATGAGGTTTATCGGGGAAATATTGGACTCTTGGTTTGGTTGGTATGGAGATGCACTTCAAAGTGTGAAGTTCATTTTGTTGTTGACCGACCACTAGAGAGCATAAAGCATTCATGTGTGTGAACATGTCATATTTGCCGCTAGATGTTCATTCCAACTAATTAAGAAGATGATTCAGCGACCAAGAATAATCTTGTCAGTTAAATACCTACCACTGTGTTGTTCTCTAGCTATCAGCAACATTTTTTGTGGTGATCTTATTATACTTATGCTCAACTGTAGGTACATTCGTTGGCTGTTAGCTGGCAGCTGCTAAGAAAAATGCCTCAGCGTGTAATGTGCGGCATGATAAAATGGTCACCAAGACATTCTAACTTCCTTATATCTATAAGGTTAGCTTCATGTCCAATTCTTTTTAAATCAGGTGGACACTCAGCACTTCCATCTCACTGCCAATACAACTACAGACATTCCAATTTATGTATACGTACATGGTAATGATGATTTTTTCAGTTACTAGCGGTGTAAGCATGCTTAACACTGCTTTTAAATTAATTAGCTGATGTCCATGTGGAAAATATGGTAATTTTTTATTTGACAAATTAATAAATTGCAGGTCATAAGTGCGAATATCCATTTGATGCGGCATGAAGAACACCTACTTCATAGAGAAAGTGGAGATGTTTATATGGAGACTACATTTATTACTCAATTGCTCAGTCGCGACGAAAAGGCTGATGCAACGACATTGAGCTATAGTAGAGATGACATGATTCAAACATGGGTCCAAAATTATTTAGACGCTGATATGGTAAGTTTGACCACAAGATCTGATATATGATATTTTTTGTTGATTGAAACGTATGGAAAAAATTTAGAAAAATCTCTATTACTGCAGTTGTTTCTTCCAATTAATATTGAGAACTATCACTGGTACCTAGCGGTTGTTAATGCTTCGGAAGGACAGATACATGTTTTGGATTCTTTCGGAGAAAATATGTTACAATGGCAAGATCTCGACTACACGGTATGACTTAATGATTGATTGTATACAAATACATAATATTTTTTAAAAATTTGTTAATATCCTTTTCTAAAACTTGGTGTTCCAGATAGCAGTTAATGGGAATGGAAAGATTAATAAAGCATGCAACAAAGCACAGTCAGCTGAACCAAAACAAATGGAAAAAGGGTATCGGAGTGGCATCTTGGCCAAAAATATATAAGATCATCGAAAAAATACAGACATTCTTAAGAGCCATGCAAACGAATGTTTTGACAACTTTTCTGAAGATCTTCAAGTCATGATTAAGGACTTAGACATAATGTAACTTAAATGGTTATAGGAGAAAAAACTTTACTATGGCTTCTTAATTTTTCGGATTGTATACATGCTCAAAGATATTGTGTAAAAGTTGAACTATGGAAAAAAAATATTGGTTGTTTTCATGTACGTCTCCAAGATAAATTCGTTATGTTACCACGGGCATTATACTAGTTCATAGTAGTGGAACAACTTTTTCTTTGTGATGCCTATAGAGAGAGATTATGAACAGCCGTTTTTGTGATACGGGAAAGTTGTAATAATACAGAGTATAATGATGATTATTCATTTTCCTTGTGGACGAAATTGTGATTACATATTGGGTTTCCTAGTGGAAAGGGTGTTGGGCGTGGAAAAGTTTAGATGCCGACCATGGTGCTTCACCCACAACGGCGGAGGAAGACGATAAGGAGCACTACCGCCCAAAACTCTATGAACTGCCGCGTCGTTTCTTTATTCATCTTCATCTTCTATGGCCACACGGAGAGGTTTCCCCAATATGCAAAAATGCACGATCTTGCAGCTCTTGTCTACACCTTTGTTTTTAAAGATCTTCAATGTTATAACAGGAACGCAGGAAGAACGTTTATCTCCAACATGCTAATGACTTTTTTTAGCGGTACCTATCTATACATCCAGTTACATATCACAGGTTTATCTGTCATAAAACATACTTAAAAAAATGCTAAAGTTGCATGCTTTCAATATCTTCTACGTGTCTAATATGGTCTCTGTAGACGGTAAATGTTCTAATGCAAACTCATCATGTATTAATTGGCTTACGATATGAGCACATATTTATCATACATAACATCTTGACGATTATCCTAATGACTAATCATAACACAAGCACAATAAAAACTCTATGGACTTGTTTGCTACAACTTATAAGTTGTTTATGACAAAATTAAGCTAAAACGAGAAGCCAAGTGACAAGTTTTTTTTTTGCCATGATTCTCTAAAAAACTCTTATTTATACTCTAATGTAGAAACTGGATCAAGCCAGCTTATTTTAATCAGACTTTCTTTTTTTCAAACAGTTTATAAAAAAAGCGCTTCTACTCACAGTTGTTGCACCAAACAGCTCCTATATTAGGAGGCACAAAAGAAAATGCCATTAAAGTACAATAGTGGGGATTGCCGTTGTGCACGTACCAGAAATGGTAGGGAGGGAGTGCCGTTTGCCTGCTTGCAACGTGGTGTATTGTATTCACCACCATTGGTGCGGCCTGGTGTTGCCTCGACGCCCACGACAAATCCCTGCGCGACGGCATCTTCGCCCCCCATCCCCTCCCAGCTTCCCCCCTCCAACTCCGCCACTCCGGCCCTCGCACAAATTGTCCCGACCACGGCTGCTGCCTCCACCCATTCCCACCACCACCGCCCCGCCGCTGCCGAGTGCTAGCCATTCGGAGCTGCCGCGCCATGGCCTCCGTGGCCGCCACCTCCACGCTGGCCCCAGCACTCGTGTCCCGGCGGCGGGCGCGGTCAGGGACGGGGCTGCCGCCGCCGCGCCGGGCCTCGGCCGTCCGCTGCTCGCTCGACAGCAACGTCTCCGACATGGGTGTCAACGGTGAGCAACGGGATCCTTCCTCCTCTTGATTGGTCCGTCATAATCTCCCTCCTCTGCTCTCTTGGGGCGGGGCGGTGGGAGCTGAAAGCCTGAAAGTGGGTTCTGGAACTGTTAATCCTTGTGCAATTCACACACTCTAGTTTCAGTGCTCCCTCCGGCCGTAGAAAGTTCGCCTTTTTGGGTGCCACGAGTCAAACTTTATGGGCTATCCATAAAGAGTCAAACTTTATTACCCTCTGACACCTTCCCCTGGACCTCTGCACACTTTGGCTATCCAAAGCCATGTCATTAGATATATATTTTTTTTTCTGAAAAGTTCTGTCATGATATTGCAATTATGCAGTGACTTTTATAAAAATATATTATAGCAGAAAACAGTTATCAAAGTTGTGTCAGAAATGTTTTCTTTTGTGACCAAAGGGTTTAGAATCTGGGTGGATTGCTCGGAATTTCTACGTTTGTTCTGTCAGTTCTGTTTCATTTAAAGAACTTTAGGTTCAAATGCCATACTGACTGCAAAAGGAAATTGCTGAAACGAGAACTATTTCAATGTGTGGCAGCTCCCAAAGGGTTATTCCCACCTGAGCCAGAGCACTACAGGGGTCCAAAGCTCAAGGTGGCCATCATAGGGGCAGGCCTTGCCGGCATGTCAACCGCCGTTGAGCTCTTGGACCAGGGCCATGAGGTTAGCCGATTTGTTGTCTTCAGCAGAGCTAAATGTTTTCTTATGCAGGAAAATCATTGCTTTCTAATAATCTTAGTTCTTTATAATCACCCTGGTTGGGCTGGGCATGGTCTGCCTTACAGGTTGATTTGTATGAGTCCCGTCCGTTTATCGGTGGTAAGGTTGGCTCCTTTGTTGATAAGCGAGGAAACCATATCGAGATGGGGCTGCACGTGTTCTTCGGGTGTTACAGCAACCTCTTCCGCCTCATGAAGAAGGTAAAAGCCCTTGTACATTAAGCTCACTGGAAGCATACTGAAATTCTTCCTTACTTAGTTATCAAGATGGTTGGTATAAATTATGTCATGAAAAATCTGAATTAGTTTTAATACAAGAAATTTTGGAATTGGATGTCTTTGGACCTCCTAGAGTGAAGTAAACTTACAGTGAGAAACGTGCTAGGCAATTTGTCCATATGAACCAAAATACCAAACAATTTGGTGCCTTGTTGAGCACTGGTATTACTGCCCTGTTGGCCAGATCTAACAGCGATAAATTAAACCTTGTTGAATTTCAGGTTGGCGCTGATAATAATCTGCTGGTGAAGGAACACACCCATACTTTTGTAAATAAAGGGGGCGTGATTGGTGGTAGGTTCACTACCCTATACACATCCATTTTTTTGTGTAGCAATTCTCTTATGCTGGAATATTAAAGTTATTTATTTGTTATTACTTCTGGAGTTCTGTACCCATCATAGAGTAGAAAAGTGCAGAACTTCCAATGTGTTGAACATGAATCACTAGTATTCAAGTTGACTATGTGCAAATAATATATTGTTGTTGCATATTGTTTTAAGGAATCCATTTGTATTTTCTGAGAAACAAGAATGCTTGTGTTGCCTGCAGTGCTGAACTATTTACTTAGTCCTGCATAATATTCATCTTGAATTAAGACAGCAGCTACATGACATTGTGTGCCACATTGCCCACTTTGGCAGTTGGCTGAAATAACTGTATCATACTTCTTTATATATTTTGTAACGTATTTATGTAAATTTTCATATTGTTTTCCCCTGCTATACAGAACTTGATTTTCGGTTCCCGGTGGGAGCTCCATTACATGGCATTCAAGCATTCCTAAGAACTAATCAGCTCAAGGTAAACTCATAATTTAGGACTACTATAATTCTAAAGGAGAATCTCAACTCATGACATTATTTTAGCCTTCAGTTTGTTTCTGAGCTTTGTTCAATTCCACACTTCCCAATATGTTGTAAATTTCACCTTGAGCTTTAACAATATATCATACTTAAATGTTTCGAGCCATGCTGATTATTTCAAGCTGCAATTTGTTAACTAAAGCATATTGTTTCTTGCTGACACATTTAGTGGCGTGCTCTTTGAACTCCATCTGTATTCCATACCTTTCCATCCATACACCATCAACTTTTTGAAGTGGCTCTTCCCTGTCAGCTTAATTGGTTTGTGAATATTTTTTGGAGTACTGTTATATTCCATCATATTTGCATTTGAACTATTGCATGCGAGATACATTGCAGGTTCTTATAATTTTGAGTAATAGTACAAATTTTCACAATAAAATACTTTACTCCTTTATGCTGTTCTAAGGGCTGAGCAATCCATTGACGAATTCACATAGGTCCCTAGATGCCAATCGTTGTGAACAATTTATGTTTGCAATTCTCGTTCATGATTGTCATATTTTCACTGAGTGATGGTTTAGTTTGTACCTAATATTTAGGTATGCGTCTTTTCTTAAAATCTAAATTGCAAACCTTTTTGCTTCTAAGTTCCTTTCCTATGGACATTACTGCTATTCCTTTTCCCTTTAATATGTGTGACCGAATGGATAATCTTTTGTGTGAGAACTCATCAGTGTAAAAGATTCTGGGCTCGAAATAAGGGTTGAAGTTTTGTCATTGTCAATATCTTTAATTAACCACGTGCTATTTGAGAACATAATAACATGCGTTAATCTTTAATATTTAAATTATTTTGCAGGTTTATGATAAAGCAAGAAATGCAGTTGCTCTTGCCCTTAGCCCAGTTGTTCGGGCTCTGGTTGATCCGGATGGTGCATTGCAGCAAGTGCGGGGCTTGGATGATGTAAGTATCCCTTGCTTTTATTTCAGATTCATTATGAGTGTGCATCTAGGGCATTCATTTGCAGTAGTCAGTATCTTTTCAAAGTGTGTTTCATTCTAAGTCACTGATAACTAAACTTTTTTGTCAATTTATTTTTTTCTCAAACACTTGTCAATTTAAATTTAATCTATTTCAGGTAAGTTTCAGTGATTGGTTCATGTCCAAAGGTGGTACTCGGGAGAGCATCACAAGAATGTGGGATCCTGTTGCTTATGCTTTGGGTTTCATTGACTGTGATAATATCAGTGCACGTTGCATGCTTACTATTTTCACCTTGTTTGCCACAAAGACAGAGGCATCCCTGTTACGCATGCTAAAGGGTTCACCTGATGTTTACTTAAGTGGCCCAATAAAGAAGTATATAACAGACAGGGGTGGTAGGTATGGTGACAGAGACCAAGTTTTTCTTGTGAAATTTCTATTTACTGCTGTAGAATTGAAGGCTTACATCATATGACAAATCCTTCAGGTTTCACTTAAGGTGGGGATGCAGAGAGGTTCTGTATGATAAATCACCTAATGGAGAGACCTATGTTAAAGGCCTTCTCCTCACCAAGGTAAGCTTTCTTATCAGTGTATCACTGCTCTGCTTTGCACGATTATGCAGCCTTAACTGTTCTTTATATTTTAATTACTAAAATTTCACCCATTTGGACATTTTTAGGCTACAAGTAGAGAGAGAATCAAAGCTGATGCATATGTTGCAGGTTCTTTTTTTTTTCCTTGTCTCCTTTTTCTTCTTCTTTTTGAACGTACTCCTTTTTCTTCTTTTACTAGCATGTCCAACCATACAAACTTAACTTGTGTTTCTAACCTCACAGCTTGTGATGTCCCGGGTATCAAAAGACTACTTCCATCAGAATGGAGGGAATGGGAAATGTTTGATAATATCTACAAGTTAGATGGTGTCCCTGTTGTCACTGTTCAGCTTCGCTACAATGGATGGGTCACTGAACTTCAAGATTTGGAGAAATCAAGGTAGCTGAAGTATCCAATTTTTTTTATAATTTTGTTACTTATTTGATTTAGATCTGACAAATTTAAATGCACACCCATAATGTAAGCTTCGATGAAGATTACTTCTGTTTCTGCAAAAAGATTTTTGTGCGAATGCAAATTGCATTCCTCCATGCATGCTCATTGATATTTATTCTTATATTTGATGTAGACAACTGCAGAGGGCAGTTGGGTTGGATAACCTTTTGTACACGGCGGATGCGGATTTCTCCTGTTTTTCAGACCTTGCTCTCTCATCTCCTGCTGATTACTACATTGAAGGACAAGGTTCCCTGATCCAGTAAGTCTACTTTTTTTTTTCAAGTATCAAATTGATTTCTCGCTCTGCAAATGTATTCACCTTCCGCGCTTAATTCATCTGCAGAGCTGTGCTGACTCCTGGGGATCCATACATGCCATTGCCAAATGAGGAAATCATTAGTAAGGTTCAAAAGCAGGTAGGTTTGTATATAGCTTCTGTTTTGGTCAATTTTCTGCTATTCCATTTACACAACTAAGCAAGACCTCATTTAAAAGCACTTAAAAAAAGAGAGATTTCTTCTTTATTATTTTTTTATATATATTCTTCAAAGCCCACCTCAGTGACAAAACATTATATGATTTCCACAGGTTGTAGAATTGTTCCCATCTTCCCGGGGCTTGGAAGTTACATGGTCCAGTGTGGTTAAGATTGGACAATCGTTGTACCGTGAGGCTCCTGGAAATGACCCATTCAGACCTGATCAGAAGACACCCGTTAAAAACTTCTTCCTCTCTGGATCTTACACGAAACAGGTATTGTACATCCAAAACATTGACCTAGTTGCAGCCATCAACAGAAATCAATAACTCAGAAAACCATCAGATAATGCTTGAACAGCTTGGATTTATTTTAGTCAATGGCTTAGAAAACCATCAGAAATAACCATTTCAATTCTACGGTGTCTGAACACCTTGGATTTGTTTTCCTCCTATGTTGCAACATGTAAACATCTCTAGGACATGGTAACTGAAGCATAGATTGATCTTATTTGTGCTGCACATACAGGACTACATTGACAGCATGGAAGGAGCAACTCTCTCTGGCAGGCGAACAGCGGCCTACATCTGCAGCGCCGGAGAGGAGCTGCTGGCCCTGCGAAAAAAGCTAGTCATCAACGACAGCGAGAAGGCGTTGGGGAACGTTCAAGTCCTGCAGACTAGCTGAACAACCACCCCTGCAGACAAGTTTAACCTTTCCAATCACACATGCTGGAATGGCCAAATCATGTCTTTTTCTCGCTTCAGGGTGCTGGCGATTCCCACAGCGACATCCTGTATATCCAATTTGAGCATTAGATCTGCCCCTGCAGGCGTTTCCTATCCCTGAATTCGAAAAGCAGGGTGTCTAGGTGGCATACGGGATTACATCAGGCAGTGTGTAAGTTGAGCTGGAACTCGATTGGTCATTGGGACGATTGATTGATGATATGATACATATAGCACACATTGTTCTTGCGTCTTGCAAGGAAATATAGCAAGCAATGATCCGGGGTCAATTGCTGGAACATTTTACCAGTGATCTTAATTCATTTTGTCCATGTGGGTTTTTACAGAATATACAAACATCATGTTATCTGCTCGAGCTCTCCTGCTAACTTTTTCGTTTCAAATGAAAAATTTTCGTTGTTAGGCCATGCACATTTGAAGTTTGAACTATGGTTTATGGAAAGCCGGGCGGGTGGCCGCTGTGCTGGAAACCGAAACCGGTGAGTCTCCGGCGTTGCCCTCCGCCGTGGTCGGCGACGAGTGGAGGCAGTGAGTGAGCGAGTGACAGTGGGCGGCCAGAGCGTGTCCCTCTGAAGGCCCACGACCTGCTGGCTTCTGATGGCCACGAGAGCGTGCGAGCTCCTGCGGTCTGTGTTTCCCTGAGCAAGAGCGAACAGCGGTTAGCGGCTGATGACGCCAAGCGCAGCCGCTGGGCCGTCCCTGGCCCGGCCATCGCGCAGCCACCTATGGCGCGACGGCGGTGCCCTCCAGCCCGTCTCCGTCCCGCACGTCTTGCTGCAGGGGCGGAGGCGTTGTCGCCACCGGCGCCTCACGGGCGTCGTCCGAGCTCCTCAGAGCCCTTTCCCCAAACAAGAACATCAGGTAGCCTAGCCTCTCACTCATCAAGATTGAAGCCCATCATCCGCTCTGGAATTTGGCTTCTGTGAGCGCTCGCTCTTGGCTCGGCTGTGCAGGGATGGTGCTACCCAGCAGGGCGACGATCCGGTTCCGCCGCCTTGCGGCAGCGTCGACGACGTGCTCGCCGTGCTCCAAGACGATTACCGGCTCGCCTACTTCCTCACCGGTACGGGCTTCTTGCACCTTGCTGCGTTCTTTTCATCAGGGATTGTTTCATTGTTTGGATCATGGTCATGGCGGCTGCAAGATTGAGGAGCTGCTGAACCTGACACTGACAGAACTGTGACATTGATGCATGCACATTCAATATGATCTGGATTATTCAAAGAACTATGCCAAGGAAATGGTAATCAACTATTGCAGGGGATTTCACTCCGGGAATATACACCGAAGACTGCTTGTTTGAGGATCCGACGATAAAGTTCCGCGGTGTGTAATGCAACGTTTCTCTTGTCGATGATGAAGATAGTTAACTTGTACTGTCTGAAAAAAGAGGTGAGGAATTTGTGACAAGTAGTGTGTTCTTGCTCCTCGTAGGACTCTCTAGGTACTCTCAGAATCTGGACCTGCTGGTGCCGTTCTTCGACAGCCCTTCGCTTGAACTAGAGAGCATTGAGAAGGTAGCCACGCCATCTGTTGACTGGAAGTCAGTGATTTGTTTGCAGTAATCTCCTAGCTGATTCGGACATTTTTTTAGTTAATACTGTTATCTGAGGAAAAAAAAAAGTACGAGCATATGATCCTTACTCAAGCTTTTAGTTCTTCTGAAAATGCCCTTTCATATCTAATCTCACAGGGTTTGAGGGTTGAAACGAAGTTCGTCAAAGCAACATGGAAACTGAGGTGCTTATGTAAGCTTCAAAAGATATACCACGTAAATTTTCTTTTCTAAACCGAACAGAATAATCTTTTTCAGGACATATTTAAGGCTTCCATGGAGGCCCCTGATCGCGATCAGAGGGAACACAACATATGATCTGAATGAAGATTTCAAGGTAGCCGTCGGGAAATCCAAACCGTGCAAAATTACATGCCTCCTTGCTCCTTTACGTCTGATGGGGATTTCAAATATTCCTATATTTGGATCGTATTTGGTCAGGCGACTCGGCACTCTGAGAGCTGGGACGTCTCTGCGCTTGAGGCCATCGCTCAGATCTTCATCTCGGCCCCGGAGCCGCTGGAAGGCAGCTGAGGCTGAAGCACCATGCTTGATCAGAATTCAGAAATGCAGTAGTCTGCAGCGTCAGAGATGAGCAATTGTCCAAAGCCGTCTGTCAGAGCTCCGTTTTTCAGAAATCAATCAGCAATGTTGAATTCGTCTTTTCTGTGCAAATAAATTGTATATATGTTTTGACCGGTGAGAGCAAGGGTTGTACAGGAAGGGAGTTGACGAGCAACACAAGTAGTGGTTCTTGCTCCTCAGGACTCTCTAGGTACTCTCAGAATCTGGACCTTTGGTGCCGTTCTTCGACAGCCCTTCGCTTGAACACATCCCATCTGTTGACTGGAAGTCAGTGATTTGTTTGCAGTAGAATCTCCTAGCTGAATCGGACATTTTTTAGTTAATACTGTTATCTGAGATTCCAAGTTTTTCTTCTGAAAATGCTCTCTCATATCTATCGGATCAAATTCTTGGGTGCTTATACATATACCACGTAAATTTTCTTTTCTAAACCGAACAGAATATCTTTTTCAAATGTAGATAAAAAAACAAACTAATTATACAAGATTTGATTGTAAATCACTCCTTTACGTCTGATGGGGATTTGAATCTTTTGAGCCTATTGTTAGATCATGATTGGACAATAATTGTCAAATACAAAGAATTCGAAATACAGTAGTCTGCAGCGTCAGAGATGAGCAATTGTCCAAAGCCGTCTGTCAGAGCTCCGTTTTCATTCAGCAATGTTGAATTCGTCTTTTCTGAACCTAAACAAGGGTTGTACAGGAAGGGAGTTGACCTCACGGCTTCAGTATTTTTGAACAGAGTCGGGGCAAAATGTTTCAAAAATATAAGGCTTTCACTATTTGGATAAATGGGATTATGACACGAATTCCTTTGTTATAGGTAGAAACTTTAAATTTAACCCTCGATCAAATTTGTATAAAAACCGACTCTCCTTTTCCAAGCAAACATTCTCTGAATCAGACAGAATAAACAGACCCGTCCTTCGGATTCGGGAGTTCTGACCATGAGGCACACACTGTTCTGTGCTTACTAAAATGGGCTGGACGGCCTGGCCCAGTGGCCCTGGCCCGTCTTGTGCCCATCCTCCTGAAGCTTCTCCGGCCTTCTCCGTCCCCCAAAATGGCAAAATCCCCTACCTACTCCTACTCTACTGGAAACTACACCCAAGCACCAAACAGACAGGAGGCTCGCCGCCGAACATCACAAACAGGCCGCGAACCTTCTAGAAGCTCGCGGAGATGCTCTCCAAGCTGTCGGCGTGGTTCGTGAACCCGCGGCGGAACCCGCTCGCGCGCCTCCACCGGAACGCCGTCGCGTCCCGCCTCCGCAAATACGGTTCGTTCCCTCCTCCTCCCGGCTAATCCAGTCAGTCGGCCGCGGCTGCCGGCTAGCGAGGTTCGCCAGCGGTCCTGATCTGTTTCCTTGTTGTTGTCGGTGGCGCAGGGCTCCGGTACGACGACCTGTATGACCCGTACCATGACCTGGACATCAAGGAGGCGCTGGCGCGGCTGCCGCGGGAGGTGGTGGACGCCCGCAACCAGCGCCTCAAGCGGGCCATGGACCTCTCCATGAAGCACCAGTACCTACTCGACGACCTCCAGGTCAGGAATCATGCTTGTTCCTCCCTCTGTAATTTGTATTTGTTATTGTATTTGCAATTGGGGAATAAAGCGATTTCAGTTTTAGATAATTTCATTCGGGTGGTGGTTCTGTTGGGTTGCCGTATTGAGTTTAGGTGGATTCGTATGAATTGGATGGGCAATAATTGAATGATTATTATATTAGTTGTATGATCGACTTAGATGCTTCTGAAGTTGAGAAAATGGAAGCGAATGTTTTCAAACTGCCTAGTCGAACCTAGCTATCAGCTTACTAACCGCGATTACTCATCGATCAGGTCCGATTAGTAGGTGGCTAGTTGGCTATCTAGTAGTATAGTCGTCCTATCTACTTTCCCTGCCACCCATGATGTATATAGTTTAACTGTATAAGTTTTAAATAGTTAAAGCTCTAGTAAGTACTCCCTCAGTTCCAAATTATAAATCACTTTGACTTTTGGGTACGTCGAATTTGGTATGTATCTAGGCCTACGTTATGTCTAGATGCATAATAAATTCAATGTACCAAAAAAGTCAAAAACAACTTATAGTTTGGAATGGAGGGAGTAGTAAACTAGTACTAAACTATAGAACCAGTGCACAATGACATTATGATAGTTTGGTAAACTAAGTAAGCATCTAGCCTGGTTGCTTACTTGTTGGCCAGAAACAGAAAGCCCAGTGCCCGAGTACCCCAAAGCATAGCTGACCAGTTCACAATTTTGTCTCCAGGCTAGTTGTTTGTCCCTGAGCTAATTGGACAACTGATTCTGATTAGTCGCCCAATCAAATTTCTGAACACACTAGTTGCTTCGGAATGCCTAATCAAGGTCCGTGGACCAGATAAGCTCGATTAATCTCAATTAGCCGGATGACTTAATAACACCGGAAGGATATTTAGTTGTTTGTGATGTGTCGCCAATGTTTTGCCCCCCCTCTCCTGTTGGCTTGTCAGTGCTTTTTTATTATGTAATTTTTGCAGTTCGTGGTGTTGAACTGATGATTATGGTGGGTTGCCACATTTATTTTAGGTGTACTAAGGGATTTGAGTCATGAATGGTATAACAGCTGATTATCATTGGTAAACATGGTGGGTTCGAAACGCCGTTTTAGATGATTGTGAGAAAATGTAGAAGATTTGGCTATCGGAGATGTGGGTTTTCCTGCTTGTGATGTTGTTGTTATATTTATTTCCATGTCTTTTTTGCTGTGACAAATATATAAGGACTGTGTTTTTCTCTATTCTGGTGTTCTATGTGACAAAATGGTACCACAGAAGCTAAAAGGCAAGTTTTATAGGACGACGATTAGACCTGCTATGTTGTATGGTGCAGAATGTTGGCCTACGAAAAGACGACATGTTCAACAGATAAGTGTCGCGGAAATGCGTATGTTGCGTTGGATTTGAGGTCATATAAGAAGGGATCGAGTTCGGAACGATGATATACGTGATAGATTAGGAGTAGCACCAATTGAAGAAAAGCTTGTCCAACACTGGTTGAGATGGTTTGGACATGTCCAACGGAGACCTCCAGAGGCACCGGTGCGTAGTGGAATCCTAAGCCAGGATAGTAACGTGAAGAGAGGCAGAGGAAGACCGAAGTTAACTTGGGTAGAGGCAATAAAAAGAGACTTGAAAGGATAGAATATACCCAAAGACTTAGCCTTAGATAGGAGTGCTTGGAAAATAACTATTCACGTGCCTGAACCTTGATTGTTTTTGCTGGGTTTCAACTCTAGCCTACCCTAACTTGTTTGGGACTTAAAAAGCTTTGTTGTTGTTGTTGTCGTGTGTTGTTCTCTGTTCCTTTTTTTTATGAGTGAGGATTTACTGGAAGCAGTTAGTTAGATATTATATAACTCACTTAAAATGCCTGTTGGTTAGATGTTGCTATTGCGCTCTATTTTGATTGTCTATCTGACAAGCATAAATTTTAAATGGGCATTGTTTTGTCAGTTTATGGGCATTGTTTTATCAGTAAAAAAATAAACTGACAAAACAATGCCCATTTTGATTGTCTATCTGACAAGCATTGTCAGTAACTCCGCCTATGGTGGGGCGCCTTTGGTGTCCCAGTATAACAGGTCCCAAGCCCTGGTAAAGGAGGAGGGTTGTGTTAGGCACGGCGAGCCAATGTAAAAACTTAGCCACTTTAATGGAGATGAAACCCAAAAGAAACTCGTTGGTACGTAACTCTCTTAGCGACGCGCCATGTCGGAACTTGGGTATGATGTTAAATGAGTAAGGGTCTTCACACCTACCTGGTAAGGAAGCTAGTTGAGCCAATTAGGATCTGTTTAGGTAGCTGGAATGTAGGGTCCCTTACAGGTAAGTTAAGAAAGTTAGTGGACACAACGGTTAGGAGGCATGTAAATATCTTATGCGTCCAAGAGAATAAATGGAAGGGGTAGAAGGCGAAGGAGGTGGACAATACCGGCTTCAAACTCTAGTACACAGGGACAACTTCAAATAAAAATGGAGTAGCGGTTTTGATTGATAAGAGGGGCTCAAAGATGGTGTGGTGGAGGTGAGAAGGCAAGGGGATAGGATCATCTTAGTTAAACTTGTCATTAGTGATATGGTTTTAAACGTAATTAGTGTGTATCCCCCCAAGTAAGCCATGATGAGAGTGCTAAGCGGCTTTTCTAAAAGACTTAGATCGCTTGGTTAGAGCTGTCCATAGTAGTGAGAAGCTCTTTATAGGAGGTGATCTTAATGGCCATGTAGGTACATCAAGTGCAGGTTTCGAGGTGGTTCATGGGGTTTTGGATATGGTAGTAGTAACCAGGAGGGAGAGGAAGTCTTAGACTTCGCCATAGCTTTTGATCTGATGATAGCTAACACTTTCTTCCATAAGAGACAGTCCCATTTAGTGACCTTTAGTAGCGGCCAATATTCTAGTCCAATCGACTTTGTCCTTACAAGGAGGGATAAACGAACATGCGTGGGCTGTAAGGTGATACCTGGAGAATGTGTGGTCGCTCAACACAAGCTGTTGGTGGCTGACTTTCACTTTCTGGTGCAAGCTTGTGGAAACAAACAAGCTAGGGTTGCTAGAACGAAGTGGTGGAAATTAGAAGGGGAGGCATCAAAGGTCTTTAAGGAAAAAGGTCATTGAAGAGGGCCATTGGAATAATGAAGGCGATGCAAACAACATGTGGGAGAAGATGGCAACATGCGTTCGGAAGGTTGCTTTAGAGGTGCTTGGAGTGACCAAAGGGAGCGGATGCGACTCGAAAGACACTTGGTGGTGGAATGAAGATGTGCAAAAGGCTGTTAAGGAAAAGGAGTGCTATAAGCGCTTGTATCATGATAGATGTGCAAACAGCATAGAGAAGTACAAGGTGGCAAAGAATGCAAAACGAGCGTTGAATGAGGCAAAGGGGCGGGCCTATGGGGACTTTTACCGACGTTTGAGTACGAAGGAAGGAGAGAAGGACATTTATAGGATGGCTAGGGCTCGCGATAGGAAGACAAGGGATTTCAACCAAGTCAAGTGCATAAAGGATGAGAGGGAGCAACTCTTTGTGAAGGAGGATGAGATCAGACATAGATGGCAAGAGTATTTTGATAAATTGTTCAATGGTGAGAACGAGAACACCACCGTTCAGCTGGACGACTCGTTTGATGACACTAACAGGCACTTTGTGTGGATGATTCAAGAATCGGAGGTCAGAAAAGCCTTGAAAAGGATGAAAGGGGGCAAAGCGATGGGCCCTGATGGTATCCCAATTAAGGTGTGGAGATGTCTCGGGGATATAACTATAGTATAGCTAACTAAGATGTTCAACAATATCTTTCGATCGAACAAGATGCCTGATGAGTGAAGAAGAAGCATATTAGTACCAATTTACAAGAATAAGGGAGATATCCAAAGTTGTACTAATTATCGGGGAATTAAGTTGATGAGCCACACTATGAAGTTATGGGAGAGAGTCATCGATCAACGTCTGCGAAGAACAACTCAGAAATCAACAAACCATTTTGGTTTCATGCCCGGAAGGTCAACCACAGAAGCAATCTTCTTAATAAGACAGGTTATGAAGCGGTTTTGATTGACTTGGAGAAGGCTTATGACAAGATACCAAGAAATGTTATGTGGTGGTCTTTGGACAAATATAAAGTCTCATCAAAGTACGTGACCCTCATCAAGGACATGTACAACAATGTTGTGACTAGTGTTCGAACAAACGATGGTAACATAGATTACTTCCCGATTAAAATTGGACTTCATCAAGGGTCAGCCTTAATCCCGTATCTCTTTGCCTTGGTAATGGATGTGGTTACCAGGAACATACAAGGGGATATCCCTTGGTGTATGTTGTTCGCTGATGATGTAGTATTAGTGGACGAAAGCTAAGCGGGAGTAAATAGGAAACTAGAGTTATGGCGGCAGATCCTTGAGGTTAAAGGTTTTATATTAAGCAGAACTAAAACCGAATACATGAGATGTGACTTTGGCGGAGTTATATAGGAGGAGGGATATGTGAGTTTGGAAGGTCAAGTAGTGCCTAAGAAGGATACCTTTCGGTATCTGGGATTGATGCTACAGATGGATGGAGATATTGATGCGGACATTAGCCATAGAATCAAAGCAGGGTGGATCAAGTGGCGATAAGCTTCTGGCATTCTCTGTGACAAGAGGGTACCACAAAGCTAAAAGGCAAGTTCTATAGAACGGCGATTAGACCGGCTATGTTGTATGGAACAGAATGTTGGCTAACAAAGATTCGACATGTTCAACAACTGAGTGTTATAGAAATGCGTATGTTGCGATGGATTTGCGGCAAGAATGGACCGAGTTCGGAATGATGATATACGTGATCGCCTAGAGGTAGCACCAATTGAAGAAAAGCTTGTCCAACATCGGTTGAGGTGGTTTAGCCATGTCCAAAGGATACCTCCAAAGGCACCAGTATATTGTGGAGTCCTAAGCCAAACTAATAATATGAGGAGAGGTAGAGGAAGACCGAAATTGACATGGGGGAGGCAATAAAAAGAGATTTGAAAGCTTGGGATATACTTAGAGTTCTATGTTTGAATATGAGTACTTGGAAAGTAGCTATTGAAGTGCCTGAACCGTGACTTGGGGCTTTTGGTGGGTTTCAACTTTAGCCTACTCCAACTTACTTGGGACTGAAATGATATGTTGTTGTTGTTGTATTGTTTTGTCAGTCCCCACGAGAATTGCTATGATGCCTCAAGAATCCATTGAGATATAAATGTATGCATCAAATCTATTGACACCTTGATTGCTTTTGACAGGCTATACAGACGCCATTCAGGAGCTACCTTTCTGACATGCTTGCTCTTGTGAGTGCATTTTTTCCTTCTTGTCATTTTGTTTTTTCCTAGATTCAATTAATAACTTGACTATCTATTAACTATACTGCATTTGTCATGATTCTTTTTTTCCTTACTTGTCATCTGCTCTTCTACCAATATATCTTTTTTTGAACAAGTCGGCAGGGAAGCTCCCTACCTATTTTTTTTTTCATTTTCATATAAAGTGGTACAGAAATTTACAGATGTTACAGGTTACAAGGTAGCTAGGCCCAAAAACAAAAAAGAGAAAACATCATAAAAGACTCTCTCCACTGATTTATTGTATATATTTGTATATCTTCATTGCATGGGATCTTGCTAGTTCCTCTTTTCCCTCTTCCTTAGCTTGTTATATTGTGTATTACTGTATTCCTTTCCCGTTATCAAATCACAGTCCAATATAGGTACATACAATTAGAGAGAAAATAGGCTTTGTGAATTATTATTAGATTCTACAGAGATCAATATCCTCATTGATGGCATCGATGCAGATATCTGATCTCATGTTAACGCCCGTAAGTTTAATAAAGAAAAAAAAAACTGCACTCTTGGCACCTTGCATCTTGAAATTTTCATTTTCTATAATCTATTCGCAAACTGTCCATTATATGTGTATTATTAGTCTACAATATTAAAATGGTGAGATGATCATTTAAAGCAGATCAGTCTGACAA